CAAGGCTGAATTGGAAAGCAATATGAATATTTATCTCTGACAGTGAAATCTCCCCGCTGCAGGGTATTAAGGCTTTATTAGTGTGTGGTTACCAGCTACGCTAAGCCAGCCCCTGCTCTTGCCTGGAGCGCAGCAGAGAGATGACCTACAAGAGGCAGATGGCAAAGCCTTGGAGAGCCCCCGACGCTGGGACGTGCCTCCTCAAAAAGGGGGCTGTGCATCCCAGTCCCATGCAGGGACACAGAGTCAAGGTCCCCCTACCAAAGCCCCCTCCTCACCCAGCACCAGCCCCTCTGAAACGCCTCCCCAGGCTGGGGCTGTCCCCCCGCCCCCGCCGCGCGCGACTCTCGCCGTTTTGGGTTAAAACGCTGATGTATTCTCTCTTTAGCAAAAGGAGTCCCAGGGGCTATAAAAACTCCCAGCAGGCTCCTGTCAGTCTCAGGTCATTAACTTTCTTTCATTGGGAGTTTGTTTACAGCCAGCCATAAATAGCGGCGCCCGCGCCGCTCGCTCGCCAGCAGGACAGGCTGGGATGGGATGGGGTGGGATGGGGCTGCCTGGGCAGGGGGACCCAGCACCCTAAGCTCCAAGGTGTGGGGTCCAACACTCGCTCTCCTCTATCAACTTTTCCCATGCCCCGTGTTCCCTGCGCCCCGTCCTGCTCAGAGCAGCGGCACCGTGTGCTCCGGCGCCACCTCAGCCCTGCAAATGGATGGGGTCACCTTGTGCACGGCCTGAGGGAGCTGCAATGTGCCTGCGGCTCAGCCCTGGCCTTTCCTGGAGGAGGAGGAAGGAGGCAGCTGGCTGGAGCTGTCCCCGTGGCCACCTGCCCCAAATCCTGCCCCACACTCTCACCCAGCCGAGCCCCAGCTCCTGTCACAAGCACCAACCTCAGTTCAGGACCTCTGCGTGTTTGAGGTGACCCAGTGCCAGGGCACAGAGCCCTGGGGGGACACCAAGACCCCTCATGTCCCCCCTGCCAGCACCTCAGAGCTCTGCTTTTCCAATAGCACGGGTAAAAACACAAAATTGAGCGCGCCACTGGCACAGCTGGCCTGGCATTCCTGCCAGGATGTTTCCCACACGTGGCTCCTCTGCACCCAGGCACACATGGGACAATCTCAGAGCACCCACACCCTGCTCTCTGCCCAGGACAGGCACCCACAGCCCTGCCAATGCCCCTAACACGGGGAGATCACCCTGGACCCTGTTGATCTCCAGCGAGCCAGCCTGCTGGGATCCTGCTGGATGCAGGTGCCCAGGGCTGGCACAGGTGCTCGGGAGCTTCATTTGCCATGGCTGCGTGAGCTCATCCCATGTGAACCCAGCTGGGGCTTCGGTGGTGCCACAGGTACCCCCAGACACCATTTCCACAGGTACTCCCTGCATGGGGGGGCTGAACAAGAATCTCAGGCTGTCCCCTCGTGCCACCCCCATCAGCCCCACGCTGGCACAGATGGCAGGAGTGGGGACTCGGTGGCACAGCCCCCCCATGCCTCACCCCAGGCTGCAGAGGGGGGTCCTGGGGGTCCAGCTGGTTCTGGCAGCAGCCAGGAGCCCACCTCGTGTTGTAATTCACGATGGGATGGCTGCAGGACCAGCCCCCGGAGCATCACCACAACAGTCTGCGCACTGGGCTGAGGGATTAAACCCCAAACTCACACACGGGCGACTTGTGCTCTTCCATCCATCCCTAGGCGAGCAGGGACTTGCCAAAAATCCCAGCCTCATCCCTGCCGGTGCCCGGCATCTATGGAAATATCTGTGTTTTAACCCATATACTCGCCCAACCTGTAATCAGAGCAACACAAATAGCCCCTGCTTCCCATGTAAATTAAAAACACCCATTAGGCAGATTTCAAAAGATGTCAGTAGGCTTATAATTATACACGACATCCTTCCGAGATAAAAGCGATTACCGGGGATGCAAATCACTTAGCAACCAATCAGTGCCCCCAGAGTGCGGAGCACTGACCAGCCATCCATTTTCGCCTCGTCCTTTTATTCCCTGCATCGAGCAAATACAAACACAGATAAAGAGAGGCACAATAGCTCTTGACACGCAAATAGGTTAACATAATAAAGCCAGCTTTAGCCGGCTCACTCGAGGGAGAAAAGCAATTCTCAGGCAAGCAGGAGGTAATAAAACAGGGCTTTTGTGTTCCTGGCTCCCATTCTCACCCCTGCGCCAGCTTTGCTGCATTAGCTGATAGGCATCGTGGTTTGATTGAATTACCTTTCATGAATATTAGCTTTTTGAGGAATGCGCAGGCAGAAGAGAAAGAAGAAATGTCTTATTTTTGCATGCATGCGCCTGCTGCAGACGGACATGCGGCGGCACAGATGCCGGCAGGGGCCGGGAGAGGGGTCCCGGCAGGTGCAGCCCCCGGCCCACCCCGCCAGCTGCAGCATCCCCAGCCCTGGGGGGGTCACACACACACACTCCCTGCATCCCAGCATGAGACACCACCAGCAAAGGACCTTCCCTTCCCCAGGGACACGCATCCCGCTGTCCTTCTGCCAACACCCTCCACGCTCAGCACCCCGCATCCCTGCCCGTGGTACCCGAGCGCCGGAGGGGGCTGGGGTGGGCTGGCTCCCAGCGCACATTCCCGAGCCCACCGCGCTCCCTGTGCCGCAGGATCACGCCGGAGAAGGAACAGGGGCTGCCCGGCTCCACCGCAGATTTTTTTTTCCCACACAAGTTGACGCCACGCAGGAAACCCGCTCCAGGCAAAAATTAACTCCGGCGCCTGGCAGGGATGAGAGCGGCCGGCGCTAATGCCGCACGCACGGCGGGGACAGCTCGGGGACAGCTCGGGGACGGGACACCCGGCTCGGGGACATCACCCCCGTGGGGTCATAGCACCGGGAGACCCTCGGTCCCACTGCCAGAGCCCTTCTCCTGAGAGGGCAGCAGCACGCAATTAAAAACCAGCCCCAGGAGGGAAGGGACTGATCCACAGCCCGCTCAGGGATGGATGAATTTTAGGCTCAAATCAAACAGAGAACCAGAGGGGCTTAAAAGCTGAGGTGATGTGGCCTCAGCAGCCTGGCAGCAGCCACTCATGTCCTCCTTCCATGGGCTTCCCTGCTCCAGCCTGAGGGGAAATATTCACACCGAGATATTGCAATTTTTAACGACACGCTTGGCTGAAACAGGGCCCAGCTCACAGCATCCAGAACGTGCCCTACCGGTACCGACCCTCAAAGCAGCAGGAAAGCTGCTCCCGAGGCTGGGAAAACAAGCCGTGCTCCCAGGGAATGGCTTTCCCTTCCCCTGCTCCCCACACAAGGGAAGCACACGGCAATGAGAGCTTCCCTCTCCTTCCACCACGGCTTCGACCCGACCGCACCCGGCTCACACCGCGGCTCCCGGCACCGCCAATCCACTCCTCAAAGTTTTATGGATCATTCACAAGAAAAATCCCTCGCAGGATGCCGGGTGCCCTCGGCCAGGGACGTTTCCCACCTCAGCCCCAGCACCACAGCCTGGGTGTGAGAGCTTTGAGTCCCACCAGAGCGATGGCCACGTGTGTGGCCACTGACCAGAGACACAGCGGGCAGTCAAAGCCCACCACAGGGCCTTGAGAAGGGATGCGACACCACCAGCAAAGTCCCAAAGTGCCAAATCCCACTAAATTATCCCCAGAAAGATGCTGGACGGTCCTTGTGGAGAGAGGGGCCGCGTGGCTCTGTCCCCATGCCTGCAGAGCCCCACGGTCACTCCATCCTCCATGAAAGCTCCTCACCCACCCGGACAAGCTGCCTGCAGCATCCCGAGCAGGAGGATGCACATTAAAAATATATATAAAATATATATAAACACACATATAAATACGTATCAAAAACCTCCCTAGGGAGATCCCGACAAGCAGAGCCGGGCAGACCACCACTGCCCAACGCCAATGAATTCATCCCTCGGCAAACACCAAGCACGGCTGGAAAACTTTGCCAGTGCCTCTCCTCGGAAATACCCAGCAGGGCCGGAGCCGAGCCCCGGTGGCAGTGAGCTGTGCCGTGCCGAGCCGTGCCGTGCCGCCGGCTCGCTGCGTCCAGGCCCTGCCTCTCCAGCCATTAAATCTCCACGATGTGACGGCTCTCCCCGGAGCTGGATTGGGACGCTGGGGCTGAGCTGCTGGCACCGGCAGCGCCTCATTTCTGCCGGGGACCGAGCCGGAGAGGCGGCACAGCTCGCTCGTCCCCGGCTGGAGCCGGCGGCCGCCCCGGTGGATGCCCAGCCGTGCTGCCCAGGAGATCTCGGGGACCACGATGCCTCGTCCCCGGTGAATCGTATTCCCAGCGCCGATGGTCCAGAAGACGCCACAGGGATGCTGCCTCAGCAGCGGAGCTTTTCCCAGAGGGGATTTTCCCCGGCAGAGCCTCCTGACCCGGCGGAGGCAGCCAGGGAGACGGGTGTTAAATAAACCATCGCTGGGTGGGTCCTTCTTCCCTCTCCTTTGTGACCGGCGGGATCCACACCAGGCGCGGGGTCCATGGCGGGGTCCTGCTCTGCCACCACCCGCTCCGGTGTCGCGGTGGGATCGGGCGCTTTCCTGCCCGGGACGGAGGAGAAAAAACCTTTTTTTTTTTTTTTTTTTTTTTTTTTTTCCCCAGGCGGAAAGGGGCAGAAAAGGGTCGCAGCAAAGGTGGCAGCTCCCGGTCGGCTCCCGCTGGAAGTGTCTCAGCTTTCCTCCTGGAGGCACCCGTGGATATTTTATTTCCACTCAAGAGTCAGGCGACCCAAAAAGCCATTTTAAAAAAATCAAAAATCGGATTAAAAAAAAAAAAAACTCAAAAAAACCCAAAAGTTCTTCCCGTTCCTCTCCGGTAGCGACGGGCGAACCGGGCCCCGGCGGCGACGGCTCCGCGGGCACCACCGGGCACCGCGCTGCGGCGGCACCGCCTCCGCTGCGCTCCGGGAGCCGGCGGAGCCCCCCGCTCCCCGCGCCCCCGCCCGGTAACCCCCCCGACCTCCCCGGTGCCCGGACCCCCGTTACCGTCAGAGCTGGATCCGGGCCGGCTGCGGGCGCTGCGTTGCGGGGCGCGCCGGGCCGCCCCCCCCGGGCCGCGCAGCAGCAGCGGCGGCGCCCGCCCGGCCCCGCGCCCCGCCGGCGGCCCGCCCCGCCCCGTGCGCGGCCAGCGTGCGGGTCCCGGCGCTCGGCCCCGGGGGGGGACGGCGGGGAGCACCGCGGGGAAAGGAGCGGGGGGGGACGGGGGGTGGACAGCAACAGCAAAAATATCCGGGGAGAAAAAAATTTAAAAATAAATTAACCCCTAATCCACCCGGCGCGGCTGAGCTGGGGCGGCGCGGCGACCCCGCGGGGCATCACACCGCGGCTGCCCCCGGTTCCTTTGTGCGGCGGCGGCGGCGGCGGTCGGTGCCCGGCGGGGCGGGGCGGGGTGTGGGGGGTGGGTGTCGCGGGGGGCAGCAGCAGCGGCGGCGGCGGCGGCTCAGCGCTCCATGGCGGCGGCGGCGGCGGCGGCGGGCGGGGGTCGCGGCGGGGCGGGGCGGGGCGGGGGGCGCTGGCGGGGCGGCCCCGGCGCTCGCGGCTCCCGCCCGGCGCGCGGCTGCGGCGGCTCTGAGCGCCCCGCGCGGGGCCCGGCGGCCGCACGCGGCTCGGCCCCGCCCCCGGCGCGTTGCCATGGCCACGGCGCCGCGTCCTGCGGGGAGGGAGGGAGGGGGAGAAAAGGGGGCGGGGCGTCCGCGCCGGACGTGCGGCGCCTTCCACCCCCCCCATCGGCTTCTCGAGCGGGAAAATCCGAACGGCGGGACTGCGCTTCCCGGCGTGCCCCGCGCGCCGCCGCCGCGCCGCGGGGCTGAGGGGCGCCGTGAGGCATCATGGGAGTTGTGGTCCTGCTGGCGGCAGGGCTTTGCCGCGGGGGAGCACGTGGGGACAGCGAGGTGACAAGTCCGGAGTTAACGGGGGATGAGAGCCAGCCTTGGAGAGACTGTGTTTATCTGTGCTTCAGATAAACACAGTGTTCATACAAACTTTGAGTTAGCAGATTTTGAACCTCAGGGCTTCGTTTGCCATACAAGATGACTGAAGCCTCCAGTAGAAAAATTGTTTAGTGAATGGGAAAAAACAAACATGTTCTCTTTGACTCTGCGTGTCATTAGATATCATTTGTTTTTTTTTAAAGTGTCCTATTGAATTATTTTCCTGTTGAGTTATCTTTTCTTTCTCTTTAATTAATCGTCTAGTCTAATCAGCGAGACCCCTGGTCTCACCTGGGGACCCCAATGGCCATGGCCACAGACACCCCTGAGCCCTGTGCACTGTGAGGTCTGAGCAGGCACTGCTGCGGCTGAGGCTGCCCCCTTAGCACAAGTCCTGGAATCCATTTTTGCTTCCTCAAAATCTTTGACCCAGGTTCTTTGTGGCACTTCACGTGTATGAGGGTCTGTGGGAAGGGGGCAGCCCGTTCACTCTTGTCCATAATGGTCCCACACGGGCATGGGCAGCTCCATCAGCAGCCCAGTGTGAGCCTCTAGGGCACTTTACCTCCCTCCATCCCCTCCCTCCATCCCTCCTCCCTGTCTCCTGCCTCTCAGCACTGAGGTTTGGCCACTTTTGGGGAGATCTGACTTCTCTACAGAGTTTTGAGGAGTTTTGACTGGATCTGGCTTATTCTTGGGGCCTCTCCACCTCCTTCATAGGGGAAAGCACCAGCAGCTTTCCAGACAGCCATAATCAGGGGTGGCAAGGGGAGAGCTGACACCCAGGGCCCATTTTCCAAAAACATGAAGCTGCTCCAGTCACCACTCCTGATCCAGCAAATGCTGAAGGTTGGGAAATTAAAATAATAGCTAGATCTGCTTTCAGGAGAGCGACTCCTCTGTGCAATTATAACACGTATTATCCTCCCTGTGAAAATACATTATATTGAATAAATTCCCTCTCAGAGCAGGGCTATTCATACTGCTCATTTGTTTCAGTTCAAACATTTTTAGCTCATCTCTCTGGCAGGTTCTGGTGCAGTTTTATACCTTCTCTGCAGCTTATTTATCTGCTTCCCCGTGTTGCAATAGAGGCCAGCGATAAGAATAAAACCATTACAGATTTGCGAACAGCACTTAGATTTTTCAGAGATAATTTAATCAAAGCTATTAGGAAGGCAGGAAGAAAGATTGCTCTTTATTCGGGGGGGAAAAAAAATATAAAAGACATAAAAAGGAACCTTCATTCTTCTCAGAAAATGTTTTAGCCACCTGAAGTCACTCACAGGGACTTGAAAGGGTGACGGCGTCTTTGCCAGGGAAGAGATCCGTCCCGGAATAGCAAACTTCAAAAGGTGGGTGTTTTGGCACTGCCTTCAAGGAGATACTATTAAGCAGTTCTGACCTCCCCATTTCCATCCTTTTTCTCCTTTTTTTTTTTTTTTTCTTTTTTTTTTGAAGAAACACTTTTGTGATTCAGGGAACCCGTGAATACTTTGCCGGAACATAAATTTCCCCCAGCGATGTTGGGAACACAAGGAGAGCCTTAATCTGCTAATGAATGAGCTCTGCAAAGTGAGACCGGCCCCGCTGCCACTTCCAGAGGGATTGAATTGCAGGGAGGAAGCTGGAGGAGAGAGATTTTTAAAAGTCCTTCTGCTTTAGCACAAATAAATAATGCATCAGCACGTCTGGGGTGGCGGCGGGTGAGTCCCTCCCCTGAGGCACTGGCGAGCCCACCCGAAGTTTTCCATGCTCCCAAAACAGGAATAACGCTGGATTGTGGTGACAGGACAAGGGGAATGGCTTCAACCTGACAGAGAGTAGGTTAAGATTAAATGTGAGGAAGAAATTCGTCCTTGTGAGGGATGTGAGGCCCTGGCAGAGGTTGCCCAGAGAAGCTGTGGCTGTCCCATCCCTGGAAATGCTCAGGGCCAGGTTGGATGGGGCTTGGAGCAACCTGGGATGGTTGAAGATGTCCCTACCCATGGCAGAGGGTGGAACAGGATGAGCTTTAATGTCCCTCCCAACTCCAACCATTCATTGATTCTCCTCTCTGATTCTGTGCTCTTTCAGATAACGATATCCCTTTAATTTAATATCATTATTTTTGACCGGCACTGGCAATTTGGAGCACGGAGTGTCTCCATCTCTCATCCTGACAAATGCATGCTGTAATTCTTTGCCCAAAATGTCACTCTGCCCTGGCAATGCCTGGCCCTCAGAATGAGAAAGATTTCTCAGGGATTAAAACCGGGCCATTACTCTCTTGCTTTAAATGCATTCAAGGTTCTGAAAGCTGTATCTGCTCTCGTTCTTTTTGTAGGAAAAGTTATTGACTTATCAAGGTTAAAATCCATTCCGTATGGCCCAATAAAACAGGGATATCTCCGCATCCGTGCTGTCATTTGCAGGTCCGTTTTCATGGCAACAGGGCTCTTTTCTGCACATTAAACGGTTCAGTTGTGCAAAGTTCAGACATTACATAAACACAGAGGTAACAACAACAAAAAAAAAAAAATCAATGAGCTCATAGGCATGGAAAGAGGAGATAGCATTGATCGGGGCCGCTGTCGATATTTGGGATCGCTGGCTCCTGCCCCGCTCGCAGCCCTCCTGTGCTGGCAGCAGGGACACAAAGGGATGATGAAGGACACGGAGGGGAAAATGGCACCTTCAGCTCCCTGCCAGCTCCTGCCTGTGTTTAATGTCACCAGGGCACAGCAAGGGGTGCAGAGATGCCCAGCCACCCCATTGAGGTTTTTGGTGCCAGCGGTGCCGTTGTCACTCCAGTAGGTCCTTCCCATGTCTGATTTTGGCTCTCAACCCCAATTTCCATTCCCATCGAATCCTTAGAGGCTTCTCCCAGCTCCCAGCTGGGGGAAATGCAGCACTCCAGGGAACGGGGCTCTAAGAGGTGGCTCCAGGCAAGGACAGGACTCAAACACTGCCCTGGCAGCACCACACTGAGGACACGGAGCACTGGTGGGGTGTTGGGGCCAGGGACTTTGATGCTGATGGGAGATGTCAAGCTTTTTGCTTCCCAGTCAGAGGGGAGAGAGAGATTCCGGCATTAAAATGCTCGTTAGAGGAGAGACACCAACATCTGTTGGGAAAGCAAATGGAGAGCAGAGTGAGACGGCCAGGGGCAGCCAGGCGTGAAGAGGAGGAGGAGGAGGAGGAGGAGGAGGAGGAAGGAAGGAAGGAAGGCAGGAGTGGGGGTCTCTCCAAGCTGCTGCTGTGGCACAGAGGATCTGCTGCCCCTCACCCTGTGCTGGTGCACGGGCACATTCCTGGATCCCAAACCTCATCAGAGTGAGAGCAGAATTTGCCCACAAAGAAAAACTGGTCCCTTACAGCTCCTTGCTGGGATCCTCGGGGTCAGAAGCTCCCTGAGTGCTGGGGCCAGACTGGGAGAGCTGGATCCAGGGAGCACAGAGGCCATGGAGGGCATGGAGGTTGATCCGTGCACATGGGACAGGTGGCTGATCCGGGCTCAGAAATCTCCTGTTTGGCCGAGGGGCTGTGTCCAGCAGCATCCTCCCTGCTGTCCCCCGAGATGCCACTGCTCTGGGTGGGCACACAGGTGCAGCTGGGCAGCATTTTGGGGCAGCTGCCTGGGGTGCTGCAGGGTCAGCAAGGCAGAAGCTCCCGTGCTCTGAGCTCGCTTCCCCTCGGTTTATTTATAGATTCAGCAAGTTATTCAGCTGAAACAAATCCCCTTTCCAGCCGGGTCCCAGGGCCAGCGGCGCCTGCGTCCTTTCCCAGTGCATCAGGCTGCATTTTCTGGGGGCACTGGCGGCCCCACAACACCACCCTGGCATCTGCAGGGCCAGGGGGTGGCCTGGGCAGGGTGACAGTCCCCAGGGGCAGGTAGTGACACAAAAGCCACCCGAGAGCAAGCCAGGATGGACTGCCCGTGGTAGGGGATCAGGATGTGGGGTGAGGGGTGGGCTGGATGGGGTGAGGGGCTGGGGTCCACGCTGCTCCCCCTCGCAGCCCCCAGCCCCCTGACAGTGATGCCAGGAGCGAGTGCTCCCTGCCAGCCTGAGTCTATTTTTATTCCCTGCTTAAAAATATCCCAGTCCGGGTCACTGGCACATGATGGATCATCCTTCCTGCGACTGCCCTCGGGGTCT